GCCTACACTTTTAATATTGAAAAAGCTCAAATATGTTCATCTAACAGATATACTGGTAAACAGGCAATACAATAAATCTAAATAAATTTGAACATTGATTAAATTTAGGTGGCTAAATGTTTTTGCCCACCACTCTTAAAAATATAATGTATACATTTGATTTGGTAAAATGTATTCCACTACAGTTGATTGCCGTTTCTGGTCTTTATTTCTCTCATATTTTAGAAAGAGTATTAGTTGACATGCAAGTATAGCGAAAGTATACTATTAGTGAACAAGTCAATGTGTGTTTGCATAAGGAAAATATCAGGTGGGGCAAAGCATTACTCCTAAAATCCATTATTATTATTATTATTATTATTATTAGTATATTTAATAAGATAATTTACAAAAATACCTATTTTTTATGCTTACAATTTGTTTTACTCTCATCACACAAGTCTTCGGAATCTACCGTCTCTCCTACTTTGGCATCAGGAAATGTGAGGTCGTCATAAACTTCTCTGTAACACATTTCTATTTTAAAATATAACATAACAGAATAGGTTGCAGTGGTCATTTGTTATGTCTTTAAGCAAAGAAATTATCTGCGTGTGTGCTTCTCTCCATTCAGAAGCACAAGATGTATATAATAAATATTAATTTTTCATAAACAATAATGAAAATTTGTAAGTAATGTAAATGTACATGGAATCTGTGATAAGTTAGTATATCTATATTATTTTGTAATAAAATTAACTTTTATAATTGTGTGCTTTTGTCTATTTTTAGGCAAACTTATTAACTTTAGGTTATAAAGCCATTTTTTAAAGCTAAATAATAAAGTTTCAGGAGACACAAAAATGTGAATGTAAAAACCCTTAATTGGCTCGCTTTGACAGAAGACATTGAATTATCAAACACTGTTGATGGTCTTATTGATGACAAATTTAATTCTTTACCAAAATCTGAAAGATCCTATGGAGCTCCTTCCTAGACGTCCACATGCAATAACTACTACCGACAGCTCTCACATGAAACGAGCTAGGGAAGAAACTTTAAGTGCAACTACTCCAAATGTGCAACATTTCCAACCAGACAATGCTCAACCTTCGACAACCTTGAGAAGGTCCGTATCAATCGAACACTTTCTCAGTTTGATAATCCCACTGGCAACCCCAAGATGGCTTGGAAGATCATCAAGGAACTTTCTGGCAAAAAGAAGAATGTCATCTATATTCAAGGTGAAGATCGACTGACAAGTTGGAAAAACCACTTTCAGAAATTACTAAAGGCTGCCTGCAGTGACGGCCTTGACACAATCATCAATCTCCGGATTAAAACAGAACCATTTTTCCAAGAAGAAGTTGATGAAGCATTGAATGCCATGAAATCAGGGAAAGCTCCGGGTTTAGATGGTCTAACACTCGACCTTTGGTAGCTCCCGAATGCAAGTACAGTTCTTAGATCATTCTGTGTTGAGACCTTCAAGGGAAATAGACCTAATGAATGGGGAGTCTCAGGGATAGTTCCAATCCCGAAGAAAGGGGATCTCACGCTTTGTAATAACTACCGGGGTATTAGTTTAACTGCTGTAGCTGCAAAAATTTACAACAGGATGATACTAAATAGAATCAGACCTATCATAGATCCACTTCTTCGTTCTGGTCAAAATGGTTTTAGACAGTCTCGATCTACTTCGGCGCACATTCTTGCTTTGAGGAGGATCATCGAGGAGATATCAAACAATAAGAAGGAAGCGGTGCTAATATTCATTGATTTTAAAAAGGCATTCGACTCCATCGATCGAAACCTAATGTTCAAGATTCTCGCTGCTTATGGCATCCCTCCTGAAATTGTTGAAGCAATAAAAACTATGTATGTTAACACAACTACCGTTGTAATTACTCCAGAAGGCAATACTGACCCTTTTGTTATTAACACTGGAGTCCTTCAAGGAGATCCATTAGCTTCTTTTATTTTCATTATATGCTTTGAGAAAAGCCCTTCGACCATCCGATGGACTGACTCTGAAGCGACGCCTAAGAAGAAGACATCCTGAAGACGTCTTGCCAGAACTTGCCTATGCTGATGACATCGCCTTGTTAGAAAGTACAGTCAAGAATTCTGAAGAACTGCTTCATCGGGTGGAGAAACAAACACAATCCACTGGTCTCTTTTTAAATGCCAAAAAGACCAAGTTTATTTACCTTAATTCCACATCAGAAGTGTCCATTAATTCACTAGACGGACATGAAATCGAGAAAGTTGACGAATTCCTGTATCTCGGTGGGTACACATTTACATCCCTTGACATTGACACAAGAATTGGTAAGCGTGGGGTGCATTACACTCATTGTCAAAAGTGTGGTCGGCACCAATCAGAAAAACAACAAAAATGAGACTCTTCAAATCAACTGTAGAGTCCATACTGCTGTATGGAACCGACTCATGGACCTTAACGAAAGCTCTTACTAAAAAAATTGATGGAATATACACCCGAATGTTAAGGATTGTTCAAAACGTTTCCTGGCAGTCACACACCTCCAACAAGTCTCTGTACGGTAAACATCCACGTCTATCCTCCATCATTCGACAACGTAGGCTTGCTCTTGCTGGTCACGTGGTAAGAAACGATGAGGCAGCCGGTAGGGTTTTACTTTGGAAGCCAGATGCCCACAGGAAAGTTGGAAGGCCCACGACAACATTAAAGAATGTGCTGGAAACAGACACTGGTCTCGAAGGGCACGAATTGAAGACAGCAATGATGGATCGACTGAGCTGGAGAAAGAATTTTGTATATGTCACCGACTAATGTCGGATGCGGTTAAGTAAGTAAGTAAGTAATAAAGTTTATAATCTTTGCCAAATAATCAATGTAACATTTGCGTAGTAAACATTATTTAAAACAGCTAAAACTGAATTATTTTGATCTGTCTCAATGAACGCTTGTTTTCTTTATTAAGCACATTAGTGCATTTTTAATAATGAACACACATTTTAATAAAAGAGCACAAACATTTCAATATTCTCTTTGTCTTTAAAGTTTGACCTGAACTTACAAATATTAGAGGACAGCTCTTTGAACTCTATCGACGAAGGATTATTTAAATTTACCTCAAAAGTTCAGGGAAAGAGAATAGTGCCTGAGTTAGAATTGAACAAGAAGTAAAATCAGGACAAAATCATTATCATAACAATTACACTCATTTATACGATGTCTCTCGTACAATAATAATACTAATTATAGATGATAAATAAAATTAATCGACACAATTAAAATACAATATATTCAATTTTAATTCAATTCATTTGATTACTATCCAGTTTAAATATAAAAAATAAAAAACAAAATCAAAACAAATCGGGGAAAAGGAAAAAGGTACAGGCCCAAGAAAGAAAACTCCTGTGGAGGGTCAGCCAAAAATCTAAACGACAAACTTATTTCTAAAGGAAAAGGAAAACACTGACATTATGACAATAATAGATTAAGTGAAAACAAAAGATTCAAGAAAGATGACTACTCTGGTTCAATTATGTCGCAAGGATGAATAGAATTAGCTATGTTAAGACACCGACACTGAATCCTCTGACAAGAGGGAAAGTATTCGTCCCCTGCAAACGTTTGGCTGTGATCAGATACGGAAAGATACTAATGTTCTCATCGGAGCAGTAGAACAAGATAGTTAACAAGGTTCGACTTTTGTGAAATTTCTGAAATCAACTAAAAACATGTTGGATTCCTATATAGTCATGATGACATCACATCATGACAATATATTGACATAAATTTAGTTTTTATTCAATGAAAATTTGATAGTTTGTAGTCTGGACAGAGCTCCATACTATAAATGCTTATTTGCGAACTTAATACTATCTGCACAATCAGGGCCTGTCCAAACATTAACACATTCACAAACGTGTCCATTCACACCATCGGTACACGTCCCACCATTTAGACAAGGTTCGCTTAAGCACCCATTTAGGTCTGCAATTAAAAATATTAGCACTATATTATTGACTACCCTAGACCAAGCATAACCTAAAGGAATCAATATGTGGCCCAATTTTCAATGACTTCAATAACAGAACTGAACTTGAGATCAGCATAGTCTATGTCTGCCTTTATCAAGCACAGTGTCAATACCAACAATCAATGCACCGATTAAAATTTAATGCATACATACTTACACAGTACAACATTTTTTTAAATTATATTTTTATTTACTATATTTTTTATTATTTTTTTTATTCTTGTCTTTTATAAAGCTAAAGGTTAAAGGTTGTTTATTTATATTGCGCAAAATACGAGTCTCTATGTGCAGAACAAGTGAGCAGATGTAATTGGAAAAACAAAAAAGAAAATCCAAACCACCACCCAAACTGCAGTTTGGGTGGTGGATACTCCCGCGTCGCTGAGCAGGGATCTATCAAAATGTACCCTGCCCAGCAAAAGTATTTAAAATTTTATATTTTACAAGAAACAAAAGTCATCAAAGTGATAAGAAAAACATGGGAGAATGTAACAAAATTAAGGAGGATCAAATATATAGAAATTTTTTTTTTGACTGATCTTACAAAATGTATAATGAAATAATAATAATGTAATTGTTTCTGAATTTTTTCCTTTTTATTAATCCAGTTGTCAATTCTTATAAGTAAATATGTCAAGTCCGTAAGTAAAAACAACATTTACTTATAAAAATTGACAACTGGATTAACAAAAAGGAAATAGTTTACTGAATCCAGAATAAACTTATTTCCCCTGGAATGTAATTGTTGCTTTACTATAATAAAAATAATAATAAAAGTAGCAATATTAATGACAATAATAGGAATGACAATAAAAAAATTAATAATAATTAACAATAACAAGAGGCATAACAATTAAAAAAAAACAATAAATGAAAAAACAAACAGTATCAATAAAATATTTAAAAAAAACAATATAAGGCCTGAAAGGATTATAGTCATGCGCAGCTGTAGCCGTTAATTCCATCAATGCAAATTTAATAGAAAAGTCAGTCTCTAGGCAACACTTAAATATAATTGAGGGGTGTTATAGTTTATAGGAAAAATGTAGTAACCAATTTAACCAGGTAACACCCCTTGAATTTAATAGAAAGGTCAGTCTCTATGCACCAATCTAATATATTCAAGGGGTGTTCTAGTTAAAAGGAACAATGGTAATAGTTAGTATTATATCCAGGTAACTATTAATGCAAGATGGACTTTACTATTACAGTTCTCGAATGCTGAAGAAACACTACTTAAAATTATGCCTTGTACAGGTGTAAAATCATAAAAAACAGGTGAATTATTTAAATGATTATCATACTTGTTTCACAGAAGTTGCCACTCCATCCAGGCACGCACAGGCATATATACTGGTTGTTGCCATCCAGACAGGTTCCCCCATTCTGGCAAGGACTGCTGGCACATTCATTGATATCTGCAAAGAACAACTGTACTGTATTAATAATATGAACAATAAAGCATTAAATGGCTACGGGCACACATTTGTCGGGCGACAACGGTGAGGTCTAGAAGGATGTTGTATGTGGCCCAGCAGGGTTGGGTGACATTAGGGGGTTTTCGCAAGCTTACGAAAACGATAATGAATACATTACGTCATCAATTTCTTAGACAACCCTTTCCCTACAGCAGCATATATCTGCCACAAAGTAGGCTCATACGCAGCTTGTTTTCATTAAGAAAATGCAATCTATAGTAATAAACCCAACAATAATTTTTGAATATGTGATTTTTTTTTAAAGTAATTGTACCAAAGCGTAAGTGATAATAATTTAATTTCAAACAACAAAAAGTCTTATGGATGTGCAATTCTGGTGAGCTTCAGGGTTGCCCATCTTGTTGCCTAATTTATCGTCTCTTGTATACAAATGATTTTACATATGAAGAATCTAATCTAGAAAACTGTCTTTCTATTAGGTATGCAGACGACACTTGCATGCATGGAAGGTCTTGTGAAAGACAACAACATGCAAGAGTACAAATATAAGGTGAATCGTCTGTCTTATGGTGCCAACTCAATTATTTATAAAATTAATAAGAATACAAAAGAGGTAATAACTGATTTTATGAAAAATAAGGTTGAGCGTAAATATTATTTAGTTGTCTGGGGTCATTTCTGGGATATCTGTTTCAATGAGCTGCCTTAGCACATAAAATTTCAATGGACATTGATTTCCGTGAGACAAAATGGTACTATATAGTAATAAAGTAATAAAAAAACACACATTTAATGAATTTGCGAAAAGATGGCTTATATTTCCTGGAAATTCTTGTCTACTTGCAGGAGTGTGGGAGGTTTTCTGAGAAACTCGAATGACTTACAGGAAAACTTGGGACCCCAGATAAAAAAAAATGCAGGAATGTAGTTATGGTGTGTGGGGGCCACCGAGCCTTGAATTTTACCACCCGGTCTAAAGCTAATTTCATGGCCACCTTTATTAACTTACTAAAGCTATGTCTAGACTATCAAAATGTGATATATCCATAATTGGGCATATGACATTACCATGCCCACATACTGGGGCATAATATAACAAAAATTTATTTTTGTTTACAGAGTTTTAGAAATGTATAGTTATCTGTAGTATATTTAACTTACTAATTTCGCAATGTAAAGTAATCCAGCCAGCCTCGCAGCTACAGACGAAACTATTAACCAAGTCAAAACATGTTCCGCCATTTTGACACGGACTTGATGCGCATTCATTGATATCTATAAGAAATGACACAAATCAGTAATGCTAGCCAAACACTCCTGTATTGTTTTATGCGCTTTTCACTAGAAACGCATCAGTACAGGTACCACTATTCATACATGGCGAGCTGGCGCACTCATTAGTATCTGAAAAAAGCAGAGCCATTAAAATGTATAAAATGCATGATATTCTGTTGCTGCCAAAGCAATGCTTCGCCTCTTTTATATACCGCATACATAGATTCCAGGCATCTGATACCAACAACATTTATTTCATTTCAATATGGCGGTCATAATTAACATAACAATACTGTAAATTATTTCTTCAAAAGTATATACTGTACCAATATTGAGAATCTACACTAGAGGAAAAAAGTTTCTTGTCTTGAGTGTAAGACCCAGATTGTTATAAAATGCAGGTAATAACTTCAGCCATCACTTCTATGATGTTGATTGAATATCAATAGTTCATATATTCCCGGGAAAAAATACTATCACTTTAAGTGATAGTACTTTTTTGCTATATCGTGATGTATTCTCAAAGCCCCACTTATAACGTTGCTGTGCCATTTATGACACCCGTGGATGTTAAAGGAGACTGCGACCTCTACGAGAGAGATTACTCGGCACTTTGACAACCTAGGCCAACTTGGTGTGTACTCTTTCCATTACTTTTTTAGGTCTCGTGGAATCTAAGTATGCGGTATATCAGGGGCGGATCTAGAGATGTCCAAAAGGGGGGGGGGCGAAATTTGGGCCGATCGAGACAACAATGTCCTAGGGGGTCCGAG